TAAGAACAGATCAAGAATTACTAATTACGGACGCAACGGGAACGCTGAATCGTATTAACACTCGCAAGGTTGTAAGCCCGTCACTGAGGCGCAAGAAGAAGGATACAGAAGTGGCAGTTCGTTTATTAAAAGAAATTGAGGGGATTAAATAACATGTATAAAGTACGTTTGTTGGCTATGAAGGTATCCACCAATCGCCTGTTTGTATTCTCGACGTTATACAGAATGTGTCTAGGCCGCACGACTTTTGATTGGTTAGCGCGATTCGCTTGACGTTCTTTGTCCAGAAGATGTAATGCATAGGCACTTAGTTGGCATCACCTGAGGGAAAAGGATTGACTCATCACAGTGCGTTCACCTATTTCGCGAAGCACAGGAAAATTATCTGCACTGCTAAACCCAACGCTAGTCGATTTTATTGTACATTTTCGTTATTGGAAAATGGGGTACGCTGTAGCACAGTGCAATATTGATTAATCACTNNNCTCAGCTCACTCCAACTTCAAGCCACTAAACGTTTTCACGCTCATTTTGAAAATTCACAAATATCTAGCGCTTGTGACAGCGTCCCAAATAATTTGGTTTCAATAGCGATAGTAAATGTTGACAGATACATGTTCACGTATCTTCGATCAAATAATCACCTATTTCTTGAGCCTCAGCAACTAAAAACGCTGCTGCACTAAATGATATAAATTGTAAATAGTTTGGAGCTTTTTATTTGTAATGTTGTAATGCATTTATTAAGGGTAAATGGAAGGAGAACCTCTATGAGAGTCGGTAAAGTCAACCTGACATTACCTCGTTCAAGGCATGTGTGAGGTGGCACGACTTCAGTCTTATGCTTAGCGATCAGTGGCATAGAGCTAATTAACTTTTAGGTTATTCGGTCTTACTTGGGGCGTTTTTGAAAACCCTCCTGCACCATTTAACATTTTTCTTGGACGATGTTCCTCCAGCCTTTACATTGTCCGATAATACCTGTAGTTTGAACAACCATTTAGTTTATGTTTATACGGTTGTTTGGTTGCTGTATATTTAGTAAAGAAAGAGTACTGACAGTTGGATTTCGGAGTAGATCGAATTCGTTCATGTCACACAAATATCTGCGTCTCTCAATACAAGCAGGTCACCTCACAAGCAGAATTCCGCCACGTTTTCCGAAATTGTCATTGGTCGTCGGTATCGGATTAGTTAGCAAGTCAATAGCCACAAGTGTACGGATAGAGAAGTGACTTTTTCTGGAGATGCTCCCAGTAACGTACAACAGCTCTGACTGTGTACTCCTGGTTATATACAGTTTTCCAGTAAAGCCTTTGGTGTTGTTTTAAGATTCGTAAGGTTGTTCAGTTTCATCGGTGTGCATCCATTAGCTGTGTTTGATAAAAGCTCACTGAATACGGCAGCGATCATTTGGTGAAGGAAACATGAGCTATGATTCATTAGGCTTGATGGTGGTAGGCTCGCGAACCACCTCCGTGAGACACTGTCATAGCACAAAATCCATTCCAGTAGCTGCCACTACTCACCTCGTTAACGTTGTTTTGGTTCATTTCAGTTTGAATAACTATTTACCGTGCACTTTTGTGCGACGGTTTTGGTTGCTGCCTTCTAGATGCCTCTTTAAATGAACGAGTAGCTGTGCAAGAATGAAAAAGAGCTCACAGATGTCAAACTGTACCATAAAATGGTGAATCTTGCTAGCATTTAGTTTCATGTAATTTCATACAGCCTTTTATGTTGAGGCAGACAAAGTCGAACTCTCTCTGGTTAGAAACCCCGAAGGAATTGATCGTAAACTAGTACGGTGGTGGAGCCGTTCACACGTAAAGTTGTTTCTTCATATGCGATAGGAATGTTTGTGATCACCAACAAAGAGCACTGGACAGCTGTTTCGTTCCGTTTGGAACTCGTCAGCAGTGTGTACTTTTTGTGTCCCTGTCAGGACTCGAACCGCGAACATTCGGGTCTGGACTTCAATCTCATACCGCTGAGCTACACATCTGACGGTCATCATTTTGTGAGAATAGCTAAATCAATTTGTTGTATCAATCTTGGAATAGCCCATTCGATCTTTCAGAAACACCAGGCACTCCTGATGTTCTTGGATGTGGGTTTCACTACTTGGGAGATCGCTAATTCCCGACAATTTCATGCAATTACATGCGATAGAAATGTGACGAATATTTGTGGGAAATTAACGATCTCCCAAGTAGTGAAACCCACACCCAAGAAAATCAGGAGTGCCTGGTACCTCTGAACAATCCAATGGGCTAATCCAAGCTTAATACTCTAAATTGTTTCTTCACACCGGAAAACCCGTTCTAAATCGATAACCCACGTTACAAAAGCGCAGTTTTGTTTCTCATGTTACTTCAATATTGATTATGGTGTTTATTATTTATCATTGCTTCACGATTCTTGTGCCCTAGTCTGCTTGACACAGTCTGACCCAAAACATTGTGAAATATAGCCTAATGAATATCCGAGTATCTTCCGTGTTTCATGAATCTGAGGGAAATATAAACGAGATCGGAAAAGCACTGAACTGTGCAGATGCTGTCCATAGAATCCGCATAAACATTNACATTGATGGAATTGCACACAAGTAAATTGTAGAACCTAGACCTACTCAAACACCAAAAACAAGTGGCTGTTTGGGATACGAATAGGACATTTCGTGATCGACACAGAACAACCAAGTGATTAAACCTGATAGTTCTAGCCGAGTGATGATTGCATTTTATATCATATACAGCTCACGAATAAACATGTATAGACCATTCTACGACTCCTAGTTTGTCCACTCCTTATATTTGAACTCGAACATTTATTAGTCTTGTACTTAAGTTCCGTCTTCTCGTTACATGAATCCCCTCGATCAATCCACCAACTGCTCACTAGGAATGAATCGAAAAGGCTAGTGAGTAAGCTTAAAACGATAAGAATTGTTTGGCAAACACTATGATGTTTCGTCTATTCTTCTCAATCGCTGACTTGAAACAAACATGCACATATATAGCTTATGGGATTGTTCAGTTGATAAAGTCACCAAATTACCACGTCAAGAGATGTGCTTTTGAATCTCGCCACTGCCGCCTGACTTTCAAAGTTAAGTGCGTGTAAGGTTGGGTAATGAAATCGAAGAAGCAAGGCTTCACTAAGTTCCTAAAGATTAGCATTGCGATAACGTAAAATTGGTTTGCAAGAGGAGTTATTGTCAGGTGTGTGCTGTCATGAGATGTCTCGCAACAGATGACCGTGGATGTTTTGCGATTCCTTGACCATCGACTATCGGTTTCGTTATCGATTTCACCAACCACCGAGATACTTAGAAGGAGAATATTTGAATTAGCCCATTCGGTTTTCTCCACAGGCATTAAGCCCTGTTGATATTCTTTGGTGTGGGTTTCATTCCTCGGGAGATCGGTAATTTCCCACAAGACAAAGGTATTTAAAAACGATTTTCATTTCAGAATACGTTTGGCCGTCCGTTATGAGAGCTGACGGTTTGTTCTGTCTATTTATGCGTCACAGATGTTTAATGTTTGTTAAATGATGTTCAATATATTGACTGGTTCGGGTTTTCCGTAATCCATGTAATTTACTTCTAACGATGTGCAACAGAAAAATGTCATTCGTTTACCGTAACGAACAAGAAACATAAGCAATGTGTCACCATCCAGCTATCGAAATTCGTGAATTACAGCCAACCAATAATTACATTTTACAGCAATATGTTGATTGAACCGTCAGCGCAGTACGCTGGTTCATAAAGAAGCCATTAAGGATAAAGTGACTTCTCAGGTAAAATAAATCAACTCGCATAGAGATTTGGAGCTTTACAAAAAGTACCTGATGATTCAGAATACATCTCATCGCTTCGGTTCTCTGACGCAGAATCGCGCACTCGTATCGATAGGCCTGAACGAAATAGTTCTCGTTCAAGTCCAGACGCGGTCGTTGATACATCAGATCAGTCATTACTTGAGCCAATCGGCGACGACTGTCTCTGGAGAAAATGTGCCCGTAGACTTCCATATAGATATCCATGAGCTGCGTTGGACAGGTTGAAAGAGCACACAAAACAGAGATGGATTATGAACTGAAGATCAGAGGAAACTGAGTTCTAGAATGTGCACTTAAAACCAGCTTGGTAAACATCAATGATCTGTTACCTCAATATTAGAAAATGGTGATATGGTTTAAAAAGTAAAATGGGCCATTATTTTTAATGAAAAGTAAATTTGAAGAACTAGGCTCATGATCGAATGACTGCACCGACATTTTTCCAATTTCGTTAAATCCGAATTGTTTGATTGATTTTGCAAAACAAAACTTGGTCGTATGAATTCGCTGACAAAGATCTCATAAATGTGGAATATGCTAAAGCCCCATTTCATCTAATATTTTCACTCATTCCGCCATCGTCAAGCTCAGTCCGTGAGATCGATCACAAGCACCTCGTCTGATGAGAGCATTTGATACATTGTGAAAGATTCGCTTGAAGGATCCTTAGGAACACTCTACATCCAGTGCCTGCTAACCTTTCAAAATATTATTCTCACACGGTTACTCCTTCTGAATTGCGATGATGTCCTTCACTTTTTGCTTCATACAGAAAGTCCTATGTTCGTGAGCTAGTGCGTGTATTCGTCGAAAGAATTAAGGTAGCCGGAGATTTGCATGCCACTTCTAGACCGTGAATCCATGTGACGGTTAACTTACCCGTGCTCAACTGTTTCACTTTTCTCTTTTGTGTGAACTAACTTCACGCAATCAGTGAAAGCACCTGATTTCCTGAAGTTTCGACTTAAAAACTGACAAATGTTCTGCAAATATTATGCATTACCACCCTATACTTTTGAACAACATGCCATGAGATTTCTGTTCTGTTCGAAGTCCTTGTTAGATTTGCCATCTTGAACTTTTGCATTCATGTTTGGGAATTACGCGGATATTTTGTTGTATGCGGTGAAGGGTCGTAGTACAACTGTCGTATAAAACAAAGCACTTTAATCAGTAACCTCCCCCCCCCCGGTATATACGATAG